AATAAGCATTTGGGGGACCTGGGAATCGAACCCAGGTCCCAAAGATTACCAAGCACGTTGCCAACCACTACACCACTCATGCGCATTTGTTAATGAAATAACCAAAGAAAATAAAATATAGAAACAATGATTATTCTGGAAACTAAACAAAACACGCACGCTATGTTTGAATGGACTAATGGGATGCAAACACGTCACCTTCTTCTTCCCTGAAACTGCAAGAAATAGAGTTAGATAGCGGAGGTTTTAAACCCCCACAACCTGCAACATTGAAAAATAGCGAATAAGCATAGGTGCAAGATAAATTGGACGCGAGATATGTTTCGTGTTTGTCTCATCAAGCCGGTTTCAACCATGGGTGTTTGGAGTTCTGATTTTACAGTATGGGAAAAGCCCCAAATCACAAGCTCTGAAACCCTAGGATTCGTTAATGGTAGTTTCGATTCCAGGGCATTATAATCAAATTAAATTACACTAATAGCTTCGCATGGGTCCTGTGAACACAATACAATCAACGAAAAATGTTAAAAACGCATGAATTGATGATTATGATTTTGAAAAAGAGTGATGAACCGTATGACTGTGAATGGCGTTTCCTGGAGCTTTAGAGCTTATTTCTGGTTGCAAAAGATTCCTGAGGGTGTAAGGAATGTGTTTTGATCAAGAAAAGGCCTTGAATCGTGCTGAAAAGTGGATTTCAGTTTGCAAATTTTCTTCAAGTTTTTGGAATTTAGTTTGGCCGTTTGAGAGAGTTCTAGGTCGTGCTTCCTGTAATTACACATATATGCTTGAATGAGAATCAGTCACTATTATGAGCTCTTAAGCAATGCAATTATGTTTTGAGATTTCCATAACCACCATTAAAGAAACTTGCCATTTTTGTTCAAAATTTGAATTTCATGCTCATAATAGGCTTGGCACGAATTTGGTATGTGATTCATGACATATAAAAGTCATTCAAAACTCAAAGATACCATTTAACTCATTTTTTTATTTTTATTTGAATTATTATGGATTAAAGTGAATTAAATCCATAAAAATTAAATAAAAATGAAAAAATAAATATTTGGTCTTGTAATGGGTCATGGGACACGTGGGTGGCATGACAAGGCTGAACCAAGTGGAAAAAAGTGGACCCTTTTGTCAAAAATTGAAGTTTCAAGGATAGTTGACTTTGGCCATTTCACAAAAATTTCCCAACTTCTCCAATGCATATCTTGCTCAATTTTGATCATATGAACATGTTCTTGGACATTTTGGAAAGGTCTTGAAGTCCTCTAAGCAATGCCTTTGGTCCCATGTCATTTTGATTTACCAATCTCAAGTTATGGTCTTTGACTTAAAATGCCTTTTTGTTGACTTTTGAAAATGACCTATAATGTTGAAATTGATAACTTTTTGTGAGAGCATTTCTTGGACTTGGAATGTGAAGATGAGTTGTGGGAAATGTCATCCCTTTAAAAATGAGCATTGGATGGGATTTTTCTGATGAACCATGAAAAAGTTATGCCTTGGTCAAGTTACAGTTGACTTTTCAGCTGTCCAAAAATAGAAACTTTTGCATCTTGATGATTTTTGAGCCATTCTTGTGAAATCATGGTCAAGACTTGACCAAATGATGATTGTGGCTTCAAAATAAGATGTTGACAAAAAATTTTGACTTTTGACTGCCAAATGACCATTTTGTCCCTACAGTTGATTGTGAAGCAATTAGGGTTTTTGACTGTGCAACTTGACCTTGTGAGCCTGGAAAATTGACATGTAGGTGCTTGACAATGTATATGAGCATATGGGACTTGATTAAGCCCTTGAAAACCTTAACTTCTTTGCAAGAACCAAAACCCTAATTTGACTGGCTTAGGAGGGTGCTTGACTATGTACCCCTTGAGTAGACTTTGAACCATTTGAGGTGATGCTTGTCAAAACTTTGAAGAATATGGGAGGGCAAATTTTGGGGTACAACAATTTCCCCTGTTCAATCTTCTTAAACCTGAGGATGTGGATTGGATTGTGTGCCTTTCGTGATCCGAGGGTGGAAGATGATTGAACACTAGAGTGCCCAGAAATTTGCACTCACATAGTAGAGTATCAGCAGTGTGATGTCGGGAATGGGCTTATAGATGCCATTTGGAGAGATGATAGATAGGAGGATGGGCTTATAGATGCCATCTGGAAGTGTGATAGAACCTTGTCGGGAATGGGCTTATAGATGCCATTTGGAACTGTAATGGATATTACATTAAGATAACCTTATGTCTTCATCAAAATAAAGCTAAGAAGGATGAACATATCTTTTTCACATCTCAAAATGTGATATTTATGGAAGACGTTTTAGTTTTTTCTAACAATGAAAATATATGAAACCTACATATATGAATATGGGGTGGATGCTTGATCCAATTAATGGATGTCAAGAAGGGAATGAGACAAGTAATGTTGTGACTGCTAATGACTCAGTGGCTGCAAGTGTGGGAAATAATGTTAAGGAAATTGAAGGAAGAAGTTTAAACTTTGGAGGAAAATGTTACATGGGAAAGCAAAGATTTATCATCAGGAAAGAAAGTTATAGATTGAAAATTGATCTATAAGATCAAATATAATTCAGATGGTTCTATTGAGCGACACAAGATTTATAATCCATGACAACAAAAAAGTTGAAGGCGTTGACTATATTGGGATGTTTTCTCCCATGGCAAAAATGGTGGCAGTTTGAACATTTTAGCCATTGCATAAACAAATAACTTCCAACTACATCAAGTTGATGTCAACAACATGTTAATTGCACGGGGACTTAGAGGAACAAGTATATATGAAATTTCCTCATGGATTTGAAAAATAATCTCCCGATAAGGTGTGTCGCTATGTTCGTTTTCTAAATTGTCAAATGACTTGAAAACTCATGGCTTCGAACAGTCATATTTTGAATATTCTCTTTTGATTTTGTGCATCCTGTTACACTGAGTTGTATTTCTTAGTTTATATTGATGATATAGTTATATCATGAAATGACAATGAATATTTGGACTAATGTTTCCACATGAAAGACCTCAGAAAATTGAAATATGTCCTTAATATTGAGGTTGCACGAAATGTCATTAGTATTTTTTCTCGAAACAAAAAATGTGCGTTGAATTTGATATCTGATTATGGATTGGTGAGAGCAAAGCTTTCTGCCATCCATATCAAAGAAACCATTAATTGACTCTTGTTGATGGAGAAAACCTCAAAGATCCAAATGGATATAGGAGTCTCATTAGAAGATTTATCTATTTAACTATTATGCACCTTGAGTTGTTGTATTATGTTCACATCCTCGCTCAATGCAAACTCCAAATCTTAGGCATTGGAATGCAACTCTTCGGGTTGTTCGATACCTAAAAGGAAATCATGGTTAAGGGATTCTTCTAAGAATTGATTGCGATGTTCCCTTGTATGGCTATTGCGATGCAAATTAGGTAGGTTATCCTCTCACTAGATTTGCGATGTTCGACAGCTCCCCCATCTCTTTGAAGACTAAGAAGAAAACTACAATGTCTCAATCTTTGGTCAAAGTTACAAACTCAAGTGATTGAAAGGATTATTGAGCATGTTAATCCTATGTATCTTTAGTGTGTTAGCCAATATGCTCTTCACATTGCCAGTGATCTGGTACTCCATGAGCGTACGAAAAACATTGAATTTAATTTCCATTTTGTACGAGATGAAATTATCAAGGATAACATCCAGTCTTTGTATGTTCACACTCCAAACAACTACTAGGTAATATCCTGCCGAAGGCTCTAGAAAAATATCAATTTTACTTAGGGGTGTAAGTGGATAAGAAAAAACCAATTAAACCAACAATCCAAACCAAACTAAAATAAAACCGATTATTTCTGGTTCGGTTCTAAAACCAAACTAAATCAATGAAAACTGATGTGGTTTGACTCGGTTCTTGGTTTTAATTTTTAGCAACCGCTAAATCGATGAAACGAACCAATAGATATAAGTACGCTCTAAATCTTTTATTCCACTCGTCATTAAACCCAAATTTTGTATTAGTCCAAACATTTCCTTCTTTGTTTACACTTATTTCCTTTCTGCAAAACACACATCTAAACTTGCTGTCATTGAACTACTGCTCTTGTTGCCCGTCACAATTGTTGCACTCTCTACCATTGTTCTAATATGTTATGGTGGTCTTCTTCGTGTTCACGTTCTATTAGTTAATTTTCCTTTTTTTTTAACCTTTTTTGTTTCTTCTTCAATAAAACTCCTACTAATCTTGTTACAAAATAGTGCAATTTTATTTAAAATATTTTCTCTTTTTCTTTTTATATATATTTTTTTAAAAAATAAATAATACTAATTTATGTTATAAGGGCACATATTAAAAAATTATTGAAATTTTATTAGTGCAATTTTATTTAAAATATTTTCTCTTTTTCTGTAAGGTTAAATCTGTTTTAATTAAAAAACTTTATTAGTGCAATTTTATTTAAAATATTTTCTCTTTTTCTTTTTATATATATTTTTACTTTTAAAAAATGAATAACACTAACTTGTGTCATAAGGACACATATTAAAAAATCATTAACTTTTTTTATTTAAATAGTAAATAAAATAATTAATTATAAATTTTTAATCAAATTAATGCACAATTCTAAAACATAAAGTTTATACTTTTAACATAAACTTCTTAACATATCCATTTGAGCACTTGTTACCATTACCATAAAAAAATTACTAACATTGATATAATATTTAAGAAATTAATTGATTGTACGTGTATTAAAATATAAAGATTAATTATATTATCTAAATTTCCCTTATGACAATTTATTATTTATTATTTATTATTAAATAAGAATAAAACAATCATTATTGAATGATGTTTGAAGATCAGATGTAAGTTATTATTGTACTCATATCACCGATTAAAAATGTATTCATATACATAAAACTACGCTAATAAATGACACATTCATTTTTTATTGTGAATTAACTATGTAGTTATTATGTGAAGAGGAATATACTATTTCTAAAAAAAAAAACAAACCTAATTAATTATCCATGTAACATTGTGTTTCGTGTTCTGTCTGACTCATTTCCTCTCCACACATATTATAAGTCAATCTTGTGTCTTTACATGCCTTGTTGCTTCTCATTCACTTCGACATTCCAACAAAACAAACCAACCCCATTACTTCTTCACCAATTCACCACAACCCAACCCTCCTTGTCTTCTTCTCCTTTGTCTTCTTCTCCCTCTCAGAATATCTTCATGTCTCTTCAACATCACCTTTTCCTTTTCCTCTTCCACCTCCATTTTGACCTTCTCTATTGAAGAGAAGAGAAAATAAACTCTTTCTTTTTCTGTCTTTTTATTGTCTCTCTCTTTTTTCTTTCGACCTATGGAAGATTGTTACTGCAACCTTGAAGTTGATGTTAATGGAGAAGAAACCTTCATGGTCAATAAGGTTATCCAAATCCAAATCCATTCTCATGATTTTTCTTCTTTATAATTGATATTATAAAGTTTATGCTAAATGTTCTTACTATTAGAATTAGAAATGATTATGTAACAATGATATTTTATTTTTAATTTCACTTTGGCAACTTTCTATGATTGTTCCTTTCCATCATAATTAATTTGCACCTACATAGCAGTAAAGTGGGGCAAACAGTTTTGTTTTTTCCATATTTGCAAACATTTTCAATCACACCTTTCACTAACCAACCGAAGCACAAGAAAATACATATTTATTTTTGTCATGTTTTGATTTATTTTTTATTAAATTATTTATGTCACATTAAATGCTGCTGCTATGGTCTTCTTATGCTTTAATGCCTCACCTTCGTATTTTGTTTGTTTTTATTCACATTTTTGACAGGATATCAAGGTTGCTTTCAACCTATTTAATTCTTTTCCACAACCTTCCATGCTTGATTTATTATTATTTTTGCATTTAAACTTTACCTTCATTCTCAATTTATTGTTCTATAACAATCCAATCAATTTTTTTGGTTTTTGAGCTTTAGTTATTGTTCAACTTTTCTTTCATTCTCTGCATCTTCCATGTTATTGGTAGGTTATTTTGTTTAATTACTTTCTTATCTAGTTGATTTTGTATATTAGTATTTTAGTATTTTATTTAGACTTAAGATTAATCTACTTTTGCAGACTATTGTTACTGAGTATTCAAGAAAATTGGCTAAAGTATTTGGAAAATCAAGTGGTTGTAGTGGAAAGCTTAAGGTAATATTTCATGATTTTCCGGGAGGCGCGGAAGGTTTCGAGCTTATGTTAAGATTTTGTTATAACAATGGAAATGCTGAGTTAAGTCCTTCGAATCTGTTACTCGCGCGTACTGGTGCTGAATATATGGAGATGAATGAATCTGTCAAAAATGGTTCTAACTTAATGGATCAAACTGAAAAGTCGCTTAGAGGGATTGGTTATTGGTCGTGGTCGGAGATTTTGATTGGTTTGAAGCAATGTCAGAGTTTACTAGTTGAAGATTCTTCTGTGATGGTAGAGAGGTGTATGGATGCTGTGGTTGGGAGGTTGGTTTTGGCTAGTGAAGCAAGCCCGTGTCCATCGAGTTGTTCTAATGATAGTTCAGGGATTCGGTTTTCGTGTGACTCGAAAAGTACTGAGAGTATTAAGACGAGTTTCACTCGTTCCACATGGTGGTTTGAAGATCTCTTGTTTTTGACTCCCCCGATGGTTCTCATGTTGGTAAAATCGATGCTTTCGAGTAAGTTGGATCATCATGTTATAAGCAGGTTTCTTCTCTTTTATCAGAAGGCGAAATTATCGAAGGCTTCTACAGATGAGAAATGCAAAGTCATAGAAATGGTGATAGATATGCATTATGAGATGGACCCGAGTTCTGTTTCTCTCAAGACATTATTCGGGATTGTTCGGGTAACTTTGTGTTTGAACATAAGTAAAAATTGTAGGAACAAGTTGGAGATTATGATTGGTTCGCAATTGGACCAAGTAACCTTGGACAATTTACTTGTTCCATCTCCCTATGGAATAAACTACTTATATGATGTGAACCTTGTTCTGAGATTTTTGAAAGCATTTCTGCGCCAAGGAAACGGTGCGGCCGCTCCCATTCGGATGAGGAAAGTTGCTAACTTAATAGATTTGTATATAGCTGAAATAGCTCCTGATCCTTGCTTAAAAACTTCCAAGTTTTTCGCTCTTGCCACAGCTCTGCCAGATTCTGCTAGGGATTCTTGTGATGACCTCTACCATGCAATGGACATGTATCTTGAGGTATAGTGATTCTTTCCATTTTGAATTTTACATTTGAATGCCAATAACTAGAATCATATTTTGAATTTTATATATGAATGCCAATAACTTTGGTCATGTTAATAACAAACTAATTGATCAGAATCCCGCTAGGTGCCAACAATCTTTATGTTAGCTCAGTCCATATAGGTTTTAAATGACCTCCTGCTAGTGGATGATGAGATTGGCCCCCTTGAATTAGTCGTCTTATGTCCGGAATCCGGATACAAGATCCCTAATATTACACAAATAGTTAGTCCCTGATTTGGATGTCTAGTCCATTAAACGGGTTCATGGCGTGTCTGGTGTTCGAGTCAGTGTCTCATATGTTATGATGAAATTATTTAAAATTATGACTACATTTTGCTATAGGTTCATACTCAATTATCACAAGAAGAAAGAATAAAGATATGCTGTGGTTTAAACTATGAGAAGCTTTCACCTCAAGCATGCTTACACCTTTCAAAGAACACAAAATTTCCATCAAAATCAGCAGTTCAAGCTCTCATATCTCAGCAATCTAAGCTCAAAAACTTACTCCAAGCTACTACTCCCATTTCAACTCCATACAGCGATTCATCGTGCGCTTCGGCTCAAAAGAAAGAAAAAGACAATGAACAAGTTGTGTTGTATGCAAGCAATTTCGATACTCCACCTGATAACGAGAAACTCAAAGCACATTTGCAAGGAATGCAATGGAGGGTTATGGAGTTAGAGAAAATCTGTAGGAAAATGCAAACTCAGATGGCTAAGATGACAAAATCAAAAGCATCTAATAGTTATGGTAAATCTTTGCCAAAACTTTGTTCATGAGTTTTTTATTTCTTAAAATTTTATTTTCCATTTTTTTTGTAATTTTCATGTGTATAGTAAAGTTATCAGTTTTGTGTGTGTTGAAGTTTATGCTTAATTGAAATTGATTGGGTAAGAACAATGTTATTTGATTGGATTGTACAGTTACTAAATAATGGAAGAGTTTGCATATCCATAAGCAGTTATTGAGTAATTATTAGGTTTATCATTTTTTTTTTAACTAAATCAATTTTTTTGGATATAATAAAATTTATACTCAAATTAAAAATAAACGGGCTGCGCCAACTATATTATTAGATCTAAAAGATATATTGTAAGATTAATTATTTATAATACTAAAAAATTAAAAATGTCAAAAATAAATGATATAAAAATTTGTTGATTGTCGAACGCAAGTATTGAAATGCGATAAAAACTACTTGTACATAGAAAAACTATGAAGAATGTTTAACCACATCTCTCAAAATCCAAATTATCATTATTTCTCAATTGTTTTTGAAGTCATAACAATGTGTACTCTACTTTGATGCGTTGTGAATGTAAATCAGAGTTGACCCAAAATTTGTGGATGTAAATTATATGCCTTCAAGATCACATTTTCACATCAAGTTTCAAGTCAACTAAAAAAATTGTGATATGTTTGCAAACCACTATTGATGAAGACAAGATACCAGTTGACACTCCTTTTAATAATGTAGCAAAAGTATAAAGGCAATTGGGGGCCATGTAGCTGCCATAGGACCATTGTGCATAAGTGTGAGATGTGAAGTGTAATTTGATTTGATGGGATTCATGATCGTCATTAATTAATGATATTAATTTTTTTTTACACTGTTAGTATATCATTTTTTTTCTGATTTAAAAAATGTGATTTTTTCTATTTAGTGAAATAATACTATTATAAATTTATATACTCCAATGTGAGATTTTGAATTTAAATTTAAAATATGATATTTAATTTAATAATAATAAGTTTTAGTTGAGTAAAGATTTACGAATTAATATTTTAAATTTAATTGTTAAATCACAATTTTAAGTTTTGAAATTGTAAATATTTTGAACTAAAATTTAAGATATTAATTTTTTTAAATTTACTTTAAGTCTTCTATTATACATCATTTATTTTAAAAATTAGATATTAAGTCCTTATACTTTAATATTTTCATGAACTTTGTCTCTCACTCTATCTTAGTGTTGTTTTTAATGATGTGATACATGGGTGTTTTTTGGATCGGGTTGATTCGGGTTTGAGAGAATCAGATATTTAAACTGATAAAAAATATATAGATTGTTTGGATTAGATTTTCATATTTTTTTTTTTATAAAATCTAAATCGAACCAAACCAAGAAATAATGGGTTAGTTTGGATTGGTTGATGAGATACATTAGAAAAAAAGAGTCTAAAAATAATTTAAAACATGTCTAATTTACATCAATTAATTTTCTATAATAATATAAAATTCTTAATTTTTTCGTTTCTTTGTATAGATTGGGAATGTCACAAAATATATTTCATTTTTTTCTTCTTGAAGTTGAATATTTTATATTAGTTTTCATAATAATGGTGATATAAGTTATATGAATTAATATGGTTGGTTTAGATAGACGGGTTTACGGGTAGAACTTTTAAAATTTGTTGTCTGAATCAATTAACATTGAGTTTCGTTGGTTTTGTTCGGTTTTTGCCTGAACTAAAAAATACTTGACTCAAAAACCTTAGTTCGGTCTGAATTTCGATTTGGTTCGAATTTGCCCGATTCAATGAACACCCCTAATGTGGTAGACCAATTGAAGACGTGGTCTTATCAAATATTCATATCTTTTAAAACTAATATATTTAAAATAAAAAACAACAAAAATTGAGGTAAAAAAGAAACAAATTGCATTCAGTAACGGAGCTAGCGTCCGGGTAGGTAGGACAACTTTCTAGGCTCCGTCCGGCCACACCGCCAATTTAAAATGCAGTCAACATCACTCACGTCTAAATCTGTTTTACAACCACTGAAGGACCACCAACAATCGACAGTCGCTCAACTACCCTCACCGTGTAAAGCCATCACTGTGGATATTTCATTCCCTTTTCAAATTTTCAATTGACTTTGACCTTTGATTTTGTTTGAACTGTTTCGATATTTGCTTGGATCCGTCATTCTGTGTTGTTAAAAAATCATTGTTGTTTGAAAAGAGAAAGAGGATGGTTGAGAGAGAGAAGGAGATTTGATTTTTATTTATTTATTTTCTTTTATGCATATTTTCTTTTGTAAGTTTGAAAAAGTATAATGAGTGTGAAACCGGGCTCTGTCTACCATGAGAGACCTGTTTAGGTCTCTCATGTAACACCCCACTTTCCCATATAAATAATTATAATATAATATATCAAAAATATATCATAGTACACAAGTAGGATGTCACATCTTCAAAAATTCATAACATTTCAAATTAATTTATTACTTCATTTCTTATAAAAGAATCATTTACACAGCGGAAATATCCAATTATTTATTTTTATAGCACCACGATTTTAATAACAACATTCTCCACAAAATTCGTGGTTTAACATAAGCTTGAATTAAGATACATAACAATAAAATAATGCAAACACATAGCAAGTTCCGAAATCACGTGTTACGTATCAGAGAAAGACCCTCTCTATCCAAAAGAAACACACTAAAGACTCCAAGCTATCCTCACGCTTCTACGAACTATTCTCGGTCACCTACGCATTACCCACGTGGAGACAACATTCAAACAGAAAGGGTGAGTAATCACAATTCATTACAAAAGATATAAGGAAAAGATATAGTAGTTATAAACAAAACCAATCATGAAATATGTACATCATCATTTACCAAGTATTATACTCACACCTTTGTATCATAATAACATATGCACATCTTCATCATAAATCATCAAAAAAATATTCTTCATTCATACAACACGACGTCAAATCAAGGCAGTGCAATGCAATGCAACCGACAACAACTAAATGCATATGGTACCAACAAGATATAAGCCCCCAACATAGTGTCAATTGGCCAACACCAGAGCATAAGCCCCAAACACAATATCATTCCAGACCAATAATATAGCATAAGCCCTCACCAATGAACGCATGCAACATCAAGGTGTAACAACATAATTATACAACTGGAAGGCATAAGCCTTTAACACTATGCCAATTTAGGCCATCAGCATCATTATCACCATATCATCATCAAAACAATCATATCATCATCACAACATCATTATCATCATATCATCATGATATCATATCACCATAAAAAACAATCATATCATCATCACAACATCATTATCATCAACTAATCATCATAGTATCCAAGCATCATCATAATATACAACTTATCATCATGTCCTCATATTATATAAGGTATCATCATTATTATCTTCTAATCATCTTTTATAAACCATCATTATCATAATCCAACACGGGGAACATAACTTCATTCTTGGGGATATACTTCCTATTCTTCATTTTACTACCCCTAAACAAAGTTCATCGCGTTAGCTATCCAGCGCTTCGAATGACACCTCAAACCGAATTCTAAAACTCAAGTTACAACTCTTCTAAGAAAGTCCAACTCAACATCTCAATTCTATACACCATCGCCCGACGAAGACTCTTGATCGCTCAACGAAAATCCTTTCGCTCCTACATCAACCAACAAAGGTGAGAGTGAAGCACTTCAGTAGCCATCCTCTGTGCCATCCATCGCCTTCTACTTTTTCCTGGTGGCGTCCTAGCAAAGTTCCATCGCCCGATGATGCCTCCTTCATCGCCCGACGATTCACACTAGAAAATAATTACCTATTGAGATCCTGCACCTGTTCAATCCCAAATGCTCTTGAAATCTTACACCAAAATAGTCCCAATCCTCATAGTTTTCAACATAGAATCACTATACAACAACTACACAATATTATAAACATTATATACACAACCTCATGGCAATTCAACATAGTACTTTCATCAATTTCAACACGAGTTCTTAACAATACAACATATCACCAAAACCATCATAAAATCACCACAATAGTGTGTATTATATTTGCACACACATATCACCATATATTTATCATGAATCACATCATTTACGTTACAACAACATCATTAACAAATAAGCATGGTAAAACATCATAATAAACATCATGTTTATCATTAAAATAACACATCATGGTATAGTAACATGTAATAAATCAATCTCATAAACATATAGATATCGAAATCATGCATCAAAACACTCATGTAATTCAATCATAATATAGTACATCACATTATCTCTCCAGCACTTCGAACAATACATCAAACAAACTCTTGAAACTCAAGTTACGACGTTTTGAAGATTTTGGCTGCATCGCTTCTTCCATCCGTCACCCGGCGCAGCCTTTGCGTCGCCTCTGCATCGCCCGACGATGCTAACCAGACAACACTTCTCCTCCATACGATTTTCCAAGGTTGGAGGCCTTCCGGACCTCCGAATTCGATTCCGTAAAAATTCCCAGTTTCAGAATTCGAAATCCTATGATTATACAATATTCTTAACATACTATAACACTTATTTAAAGGTTATAACATCACACATTTATCAATGATTCATTCATTCATTCAACACATGGTTTTCCCCAATTTCATCAATCCTCATCAAAATTAACACACAAAACACAACCTACCAACACTTTAACCCGATATCAATTATAATAAACGTGATTAAACCCCTTACCTTAGAAGTTGTTTATAGCAGTCAAATCCTCTTCATGCTCTACCAAAACTCCTATGTTCCTTCTTGCCTCTTTGTGCCCTAGCTCTGCCTCTGCCTCTTTCTCCCAAAAACTATCGTACAGAATGAGCGATCAAAATTCTCAAATCTTCATTATACCAAACTTAACCTTTTGGACCCCTAATATTGGTCTTCCCATATGTCCTCACTTATTCCATATTACTTTACCATTTAGCCCTTTTTATTTCTACACCATAATTTCCT